GCATTATCATCACACTGTTTCATATAATCTTTAAAAGATTGTGGTTATTGAGGAATGTCTGCACTGATGTTCATGGGTAATCCAATGAAATATTTATTACAACTTTCAGCTTTATCATTGGCAGATGAAAGAAGTACTCCATTAAAATCCATCTCTTGAGGAAGTGAATGCCTATTTGACCGACTTAACAATTCATTGATATGAGACCAAGTGTTCCTAATATCGCCTTTAACACTGTGGAACAAATCTATGTAATAACTTTGCTTGGCTATACGAAGAGTATTAACCAAGACATTCTTATAATCAGCATATTTCTTTTTATTCTCAGCTGTTGGCCTCTTGACATAACTACCATAAAGCTTATGTTTATGATTCATTGTTTTCAATAAACCACGAGTTACCCATGGCTTTTTACATTTATTTTTGTATCGATAACTCCATGGGAAGAGAAGAGGAGAGATAGGTAGTGACGTACAAGTTGTCTGTATATGCGCACCCGCGTTATTCTGTTTCCTTTACTCATCACTTATTTCCTTCTAAACCGCTTAGAGGCATTATAATATTTGCGGTATAGGCATATTTTATTATTATTATCATTATTATTATTATTACTCTTGCGGGTATCTCCTTGCGCGACCCGTACGGTGCGGTTAACCCATTACGTGTATCAAGAGAAGCCTTAAAATGCATAATTTACTTGCAATTGTATTTCATTTGTAGATTAGGATAGACGTGATCTGAATTACAATTCAGCATTAATATCTCGAGTTGTCACTGCCATAGCCGGTTTCAAATTTATAATTCATTTATTTCTACTTTATCGATAATACATAATAATTATACTCAACAATAAAGGAACATAATTCTACATATTAATAGTTATAAGAAAAGATACAATCATAAATATGATAATTACATTGAAAAAGCTAAATAAAGCCGTTGTACTCTAAAAGAAGCCCTGATTTTATAGTATCTGTGATTTTTTTTCTCAAACGAACATGTTCGGTAATATACTGATTAGAAGAATTCTCAAATGTTATGAATTTAATCAGGTGATATAGTAAGGATTGCTAACAAACATGACCAACTATATTCTTGAACTCGAATCGTATAACTTCCGAGTTATTTCTGATCGAATGTTTCTCAGCAAATGGCGCTCAGCAGCTTTTAAACCATAGTATTCTAAAGCCACACTGGTTAAACATTGTCTACCACAAACTCCGAGATTTCAAGTATAAAACAAGATTATCGCCGAGTTGTAACATTTCGACTTACGGAAATTTTGGATTCACTAATCAGGAGATAATCTTATGCAGAAAATGTGGGCAAATGGTAATAGAAAATCGGGGCATTTGTTACAATATTGCGAGAAGTGGTTGGCACACAGTCACAGACTATTTAAAGATATATTTTTTGTTTGTTGTTGAAATAAATCTTTATTCATATAAAATCATGGATAACATCGTAGTACATAAATATTCATAACAAAGCACTTAATCACATGTCTAAATGAGGTCAAATCAAATTATATCTATATTTACTTGATAGCAGATTTTAAATTAGTAATTGTCTTCTTCCACTTAATAATATTCAAATTCGTTGTCTTAGTTTTGTTTTCCTCTACTTCTATTTTGTATTTCAACATAAACAAAAAATATTTTCTTATTATTTTCGACACTACATTTTATTAAATTGATTTCCAACACTCGCTTTATAGATTGCAAATAAAGCATAATGAAGTATTAAATCAATATCTGTAACTTTTTCTTTTGCGTTATTTTCGACACTACATTTTATTAAATTGATTTCCAACACTCGCTTTATAGATTGCAAATAAAGCATAATGAAGTATTAAATCAATATCTGTAACTTTTTCTTTTGCGTCATGAAAGCCATATACAACACAAATGGGTGAGAATTTAAAATCTTTACAGAAGGAGTTACATAATAATATTTCAATAACGTTCCAAAATCGGTAAATATTTTCGCATTAAAAAAATACATGTATAATAGTACCAGGTTTATTACAGTAATAACACAACTTGTTTTCTTTGATATTCCATTTGAATAAATTAACAGGTGTTGGTAAAATATTATACATAAATTTAAAGTTGAATTGTATCAAATAATTATCACGAGCATATTTCAATTTAAATAACCATAAAGAATCCCACTTAATAGTAAAATTTGTCTGTAAGGTTTTGTTCCAGAAGTCTACCGCCCTAGATGGTGTTTGGATTATTTTTTTATGAGTTCCTTAAATATTTTTTCACAGTAATAGAGTGTATTGAGAATTCAAAACTATTCAAATTCAAATTAGAGTATATCACTGATTTACGTTTGTAATCCTTCAAATCATAAACTTGTTCGCCATATTTTATGATTCGCCTCCATCTTTGTTGTATTGCGGTTCTTATTTTGGCATATTCACTCAGCCATCTACCATCATAATAGATAAGTTTATCTTTCAATTCTTTGACTGTCAAAAATCTATTTCCTATCACCATATCCCCTAAAAATAATATACCCGATTTTATCCAATTTTTATACAACAATGCTTTTACTTTAAATTTGATATCACAATTTAACCAAATCATTTCTTTTGTAACACTTCCATAGGTGTGGTGTATATCTTTTACATAATTAACTTGCTTTACAGTAAACCATGTACAAAGTAAGTCACAATAGAAATCAGGTATTTTCCCTCTACATGTGCGCTGTACAAATTCCTTAAAGGTACTTTGCACTATCCAAAAGTCAATTCTCGACGCCATTTTTAAATGAGTATTTCGATATGTAAATTGTTTTATATCTCTATGCATTTTTCTCCAAATATCAATCATACCATATTTTTTCAGTAACTTTATATATTCTTTAGGCTGTTTGTAAACTGTTCTACATCCGATAGTATCAAACGACGCATCGTTATTAACACAATTAAAGTCACCACCAATAATCAATGCATAGGAATCTAATTTGTCAACATTTCTTATACATCTAGATAGACGTTCATAGAACACATCTTTGTTCTTTTTTTCAGTTGGTGCATAGACATTAATCAACAATTTTTTTCTCTCTCCTGCTTCTATTTCAACCACTATAACTCTACCGTCATTTGATAGGTGAATTAATCTGGTATGAAATGACACGTTCTTCTTTATGATGATTACAACACCCCTGCTATGCTTCGTTCCAAACGAGTGAAAAGTTTTGCCTCCACATTCTTCATCAATTTTTTTTTGTATTTCTTCTGTCAAAAATGTTTCCTGTCATAAAATTACATTTGACTTTTGTCTAACAAGAAATTGAAACAACATATTTCTTTTTTGCTTATTTCTTAGCCCTCTCACATCCAGAGAAAAGAGATTTAAACAATTAACACCTTCGATCATTGATATAATATCCCAAAATTGTTTATACTGATTTGTAACCAGGCTTCTCCTTCGTTTCTTCGATTTTCTTCTGATGAGTTTAGTTACCTGAACTATTTTTTTGTTGAACCCTTTCTTCACCTTTTTCTTTCTTGTCGATCTTTTCGTTTCTTATCTTTGTCTCTCTCCGCATTTTCTGATCGGTGGTCGGTTGATTCATATCCATTATTGTTATCGCTGTTCTCGGGACCCGAGCTTTGACTTGCACCGACAGGTGTGCTCTTCGACCAAAGATCCGTCAGACTTCGTTGTTTCGATCGCTCATCGTGTGCTGTGCGACTATTTACATCTTTCTGCGCCAATGAACTTGTGTTGTTTACATTTTTTCCACGGCTGTGTTTACTACTCGTGCTATGTGACTCATGTTCACCGAACTTTCAGTGCCACTAGGGCGTTCACCATTCTTCGGCTCATGCTCACCTGTGGTGCCGACGCTCGGGGTCTGATCATGTGACGCTTCACATTCATAGCTTTTGTGACCCGTTCCCTTGCATGTTTGCATACGAATGGCTTGACGCACGTTGATGCATGGTGACTGGTCTCTAGGCATCTCGAGCACGTTGCTAAAGACGCTCCGGATATTTGACCATCGTGGAAGATGCGAGCCTTGAACGAGGCAAGCCTAACATGGCGGTCGAGTGGTTTCTCAAGCAATTTCATGTACAAGACCCTGTCGCCGTTCAAACATGATGTAAGCTGGCCATTCACTCGCAGACGTTGTCTTACTATTTCCCCTCTCACTTAACATTTTTTTTCCTTCTAGCTCATGAATAATTACCTCATCACTCACAGACAGGGAAACATATTTTACAGTAACATCTTTTACATAAAGATATGATTGTGCCTTTAAATTGGATGTCAAGACGGAGATATAAAACTACAAACAAACGATAATAACTTTATAAATGAGTTACATAGAAAAATGTGTATTTATTTGAAACGCATTAGGCCAAATAAAAAAAAAAAAACATTTTTAGCGTCCTGTTTTTTCGAAAAATAGGAAGGAGGAGGCCCTTTTTTTTTTCTTCAAAATGGCCGCTCAAAATGGCCGCTCGGTACATTTTCCCTGACATTCGGGCTATTTTTCAAGATGGCGGCCGACATTTTTTTTTTTTTTTTAATGAGAAATAGATCCATTTTTAGCAGTGTTAAGAGGAGGCGGCCCCCCCCCAAAAGGAGGCGGGCGGGGACGCTAAATATGTTTATTTTTTTACGTGGCCTTAGAAGAAGAATTGTGGAGATAAAGCCTATTTAACAATTTTCTTAGCCATGCATAAATTATTTAAATTTAAGTAAAAAATTAATCCGTGATTCGAAATCGGAAAAGCTCGATATGAATTTAAGCCTTAAGTCTTTATTTGATAGAAGATTTACTAAGATCTCATCTCTCTCTCTCTCTCTCTCTCTCACACACACACACACACGCACACTTCTCCCATCCTTCTCTCTCTCTCTCTATCTATCTCTCCCTCCCATTCTCCCCCTAATTCTCCCCCTTCTCTCTCTCTCTCTCTCTCCCCTTCAATATTCCGCATTCTCCCTTCCTCCTTTTACTCTCTCTGAATACAGTACCAGTGTCTCCTGAAGTTCTACTCCATCTTTGTTACCGGAATGTGTACCGTTCTATGTGTCTGGAGCTCTCACATCAGACGGGACTATTCAACATGTCGGAATGTTTGACGGGGCAGACCGAGTCTTATCACAGTTTAAGGGATGTCACACCCTCTAATACAACCAGCTCCACTCCAGATCCCCTCTTAGCTCCCCTACACGACTGTCATGAGAGGCTTAGTTTCCAAAATGGGTTGCTCCTGGCAACAACGTTCTTGATGAGGATCTTGCTGACTGTTCCTACAATCTTTCTTGTCGATAAGTGAGACTTCGAACATGCAGGACTGTACTCAATTTCATTTTATCGAATGTACAATTACAAATTCTAGATAATTTTCTCTCTCTCTCTCTCTCTCTCTCTCTCACTCTCTCTCTAATTTTTCCAATTCCTCGCCCAATAAGACAATACATGTATGTATGTATGTAAGAAGCCTTTATTCTTATTACTCAAAATAGACGACTAAATTGGAGCGATATCATAATAAGCGCTTTGGACCATCCATGAATTTGAATTATCACATATTTATTTCTGGGCCTATCCCTTTGGGCCTTCCGTTAATGCTTGATTAAATATTGTTGATTGGTATTTTCTTTTTCAGAGTTGGACTGTTTTCAATGTTTTTCTTCGGTACACTCTTGACTCTGATCGCCTGCTTGAGTAAGATCCTTCTTGATGTTGATAATGTTGTTGTTATTACTGCTACTCTTTTTTATCACCTCTCTCACTCTCTCTCTCCCTCTCTCTTTTCTTTCTCTCACTCACTCTCTTTCTCTTCGTCTGTTAATCCGTAACTTAAAGAGAAAGTCCAATTAAAGCAGAAAACGTAAAGAAACAAGTAATTCAAAGTTTGATGAAAATCCGATGAAGAATGGGAAAATTGTAGGTTGTTATAGTGACTTACCCCCATCTTTATTTATTAATTGCTTTATAAATCTTAAATTTCCATTTTTCTTGCGAAAGAAATATTGTACAGCCACCCTATATACTTGTAATAATTTCACATATAATTCTACACAACCCCTATACGAAGTTAATCGATTCCTTAATCTTCATTAAAGAAGAGGGCTTTTTTTTTCTCTCGCTCTCTCTCCAGCCCTTTTTATTTTCAGTAGAAAGCAAATGGAAAAAACTAATTAAATTCTTTGAATTTTACAGTGATGGGCTTTGCTGACTCGATCTTGGTACTTTTTCTATCGCGAGCACTCCAGGGCATCGGTACGACTGCAGTAGAAATCGCAGGTACGTTTGCCACTCTCCACCCTGGTGTAGTAAATGTGTACCTGGTATAATGTAGCTATTATTCAAGTCATTGTTATTGATTATAACTTTCATGTTAAGATATCTCGGAATCATCGGTGTAGGTAATAATATATTCCAAGATATCTTAACATGTAAATGTATATACAATACAGTGTACAAATTATATATCTTTCTCCTCTTTCTCCCGTTCTCTATCCCCTCTCTCTCTCTGTCTCTCTCTTTCTCTTTCTCTCTCTTTCTCTTTCTCTTATCTTTCTCTCTCTTTCTCTTCTCTCCCCTGTATCTATGCTTAAACTTCCTACTTGTGCATTTATATTGCCAACACGTAGATTTTATTCATGTATCTAAAGTATCAACAATCAATGATGCCACAAATGTACTGGATTGTCCAAACACAATATCATTTAGCCGCACTATAATCAGTGGCACTGCATGTAATATTTAGATAAATGATATTGGATAAGTAATAATATGCGGTAGCTAAGTAGGTAAGTAAGCAGGTCACTAATATAAATAATGACAATGGCGGTAATAATAATAATATCAATGATAAGCTCCTATTTTTAATTACCTTTCTGATGGAATTGATGTAAGAATGACGATTTAAGTCTGTTATTTTGTTTTTATTATGAATGTATTTGTCTCATTATTATACTACTTGTACCAACCATACAGGAGAAATTTCCTGACATTGACAACAACTTATAAACTTATACTTATAAAAGGCATCATTGTAACATCACGTTTGTGAGATTTGAATTTAGGACAGAAGCCGTTTACTCCACGAGTGGAGATACAAATGGAAATCCTTTAATGAGAGGGCTAGGAATCCAGAAAAAAGTGAGAGGTTATTGTATATAAATCCTCAGTGACTAATATGCTTAATGTCCGTTGTGCAGTGGCACAAGGACATGATTATCGTAATTATTGTTATATATTTTGAAATGATCTAACTACAAACCACATAAATATGTAATTGAAAGGTCTTTGTTATAATTATTATCATTTCATTCATCTAAAGGAGTTTCTTATTTGGCCGTAAGATACCAAGATGACGAGATGAAGAAAGGATTTGTTCTTGGTTTGGTGGTCAGCGGCTATGCTTTAGGAACACTTAGTAAGTCTTGCATTATTTCATTTTCTGACTTTGGCCATCCTATGTATAATAGGTATTAAGCGGAGGGCCAAAGTCAGAAAAAGTGGTTTGTCTGCCACTACCAGACAATCTTAGCACACCTTATTTATTCGAAGATTAAATTAAGATACACCATATTCCAGGTGTGTTTTTTTCAAAGCGATCACCCCTTAGTCGGAGGGGCCCTTTTGACGAAAAATAGTATTTTGTAAATAATATTTCAAGGGAACTTTGAGTTTGGTAAAAGAAAAAGAAAGAAAATCAAATCATTTATTTGTGTATACTAATTCCCATCACGCTTTGAAGTATAACACATGATTTTTTTGCATGTCTTTGTTTTTCAACAAAATGAATTTTATCCAAAACCGTTATTTTCCATGTATCATAATCGGAGAGGCGTCTTTTATAGTAACTTTCCAGGAATTTGGCCATGTATAGGGATAATATATTGTTTAAAGGGAGGCCTATCTTTTCAGTGAAAAGTTATAGCAACCCAAAGTAATTTATTTGACTTCCACAAAAATCGACATTTTTGCCCGTACATGTATTAACAGTATGCATATATTTGTATTCATGTATTGAGGACGTGTAGATTCCACAACTCTCCTTCCTTTTCCTGTTCCTCTTTTTGCTTTCAAATCGATTTTAAAGATATTTTTTAAGTTAAACCTCTAAATATGAATAATTAAAGTACCTTCAGCTTGATATAAATTTCATTGAGTTATGTATGTGTGTAAAATATAAATTTTGAGCCGATAATGTGTTTTTTAGGATAATTTTCCCCCTAATTTAAATAAGTTTGTTGACAAGATACCGGCAAATTTCTGAAAATGGTAATCACGCCCTTCATAATTGCTATACCCTAATGCGATCGGGGAAGCGGTACAGATCAATGAAGGCTCGAACTTCACGATTCCTTAATTCCTTTGTCCCGCTTTCCATTCGTAAATACAATGAACAGCTCCAGTCAAATTGAATAGGCCTGCGTGTATCTTGCCACTTCGCTATTCATCAATTGCATTGTACCCTTTCTTTTTAAATACACGGACCAATTAAACTAAGCTGAATCTGAATCTGAATTATCCTGGGTGTCAAGAGCGCCAGAAAAAAAGGGGTGATGCTCAAATAGATTCTGTATATCAGCATCTAGACTTACTATGATGCACACCATGTTATAATTTTAAGAGCAATTCGAAGGATACTCAGAGACTGATGGGGATGTTGAGAACATTTTCTTATAATTCAGAAACTCTAATTGCGTGTTTACAATCAGATAATAACTTAACAAATTTTTGAAAGGAAATGGGAAGAAGACCATGAATACAAGCCTATCATGATTGTGGGAACGGCTGCCGTTTTTTCCCAGACGAGTTATGATATGATGCACAATATTTAAAATTAGTGTAACCTAGCGACCTTGCCTTTAAGCGGTGATTCTCGACTTTAACGATTACGAAGTAAAGGTATTACAAAAGTAATTTATTTTCTTGCCTTTTTACACCCCCCTTTTTTATCTCTCTCTCTCTCTCTCTCTCTCTTCCTCTTCCTTTCTCTTTCTTCCTCTCCTTCCTTCCCCTTCCATCTCCCTCACTCCCCCCTCTCTCTCTCTCTCTCTCTCTCTCTCTTTCTCCCTCTCTGTAGTCGGTCCAACTTTAGGTTCTGTCCTGTATGGACTAGTAGGTCAGTCTGCTCCATTCCTGGTCATCTCTGCTGTATTAATTGCGTCTGTGGGTATGTTCTTTTTCTAGGTCAGAAGATAGTTCGTTCAAAATATTTACCCCAACAAATATAATGATCGAAAGACTTCCAAGAAATCAACTTAGGGGCAATGTTATACTCTGTTATATTCCATATCGAAATCATGTACGGATGCTGTAACAGGCTATTAAACGTCCCAACATTATCAAGGGATATTGCAAATGCATTAGCATGTGTTGATTATTCGAAAGTGTTTGCGATCCTGTTCCGTAGTATACCACAATGTATCTTCTCTTTCAAAATCATGTTGACAGTGAAATCTACCCCATATGCGGAAATAAGTAAATGAGATCCATAAAATATATATAAAACGTCTAGGATTGTTCGATATTAGGCGTGGTTTACTTTTTTTCCAGTACATTATTTGTTTTTAAAAAAATTGTCTCTATGATCCTCATCAAAGGAACTTTTTTAATTGACTTGTAATGTGTATAATATGCCCATCATACGCCAAATATTTTAGAGTGTTCATGTCCTTTTTCTTCTCACAGTTTTCATTCCAGTTTTCATGCCTGTGGACGTACGACCTCCTTTAACAGAGGAGGGGTCATCCTCTCTTGCCTTAATAAAGGATCCTTACACCATACTGGTCTCGGGTATGTAGCAGGCGTATAATAATGACATTAAATTTATAAAGCCCTTCTGCTAATCGAAGCGTTTATAGTGACATTCTAATCATGCTGGGAACCCACTCATCACATGGGTGGAGAGAGGCAACGTAGATAAAATGGTAGATCATTGGTGGTTCCAATATTCTCTTGCCGGGGGAGGGGGGAAGTTGCACAGGTATTCAGTTATGGTGGAGCTTAATTAACAACAGTGCATCCACTTAAAAAAAAAATTTATTGCATTGAAATTACAACGTCTTTAACCGTGAAATTTATCAAAGAGAAAGCCAAACTCATATTTTGTCTCTATTAATAATTCATTCATATTGTTGATGCCTAGAAACATTATTTCACATGAAAAAGAAGAGCCTTTGAACCTTTAACAAATCTTATTCCGGTATTCTTTCTTAGTTGAAGGGAATGTAACTGAATTTGTATCATCACCATCACCATTACATATCTTGTTTTCATATGCAGTTCTCGCTTTGATGACCTCGATGGGCATGGCCTACGCTAGTGCAACCCTTCCAATCTGGCTTCGATCAACTTTCCACACACCAGAATGGCAAATAGGTAGTGACAGATACCGGGGGCACGATTGGTTGCCCCTATTTAACTCAAAATCTTCACAACACAAAGAATCCCTTCCCCCATTGTGTTTTTATGCCGACTTGCAAATTCTTGACCTCAAATATCATGTTCATTTCACGTGACGTATTTTTCTATCGTTATGCATTATTTCCTTTACTTCTTTATTTATTCATATGTTTCTTTTCAGAGGCCTCAACTATACTTTTTTTCACATGTTCAAAGTGTAGTCGCTGGCGAATCCATAATAGGCTTGGTGTAATCCCCTCCCCCACCCCTGTAAAAAGCCCAGGCACTCTCATTGGAGTGTGTCACCGTCAAGCAAAACCGTCATTCACACCCCCTCCCCCTTCTTCAAAAGGGATTTCGCCTCCCTCTACACTGTCTCGAACTGTTCTCGAAATTATATCATCACACCGTTTGCAACCATTATTTTTTCAGAACCATGTAGAAATGGTACGAATTACACACAAAAAAGATTAAGATGAACGGTTATAAACGTAAAGTCTATTGTAGAATTGTAGAGCTACATGATGGGAGCGTTCTGGTGGAGTGGTATAGTGATGACGATGATGATGGTGATGATCGCAGGAATACGGGCATAGTTAGTTGCAGCTCTCCCTATTAACAACAAAATAAAATAAAAACAAATACAAAAGATAATTACGTCAATAAAGTGCTCATTTTTTTCTCCAGGTCTGATTTTCATTCCAGCCAGTATCGCGCACGTCATATCAGGACCTCTTATCGGATACTGGAATAAAATATTAAAAAGGTAGCTATTTCGTCATTTTTTTTCTTCCACTGTAACGTTCATCAAGGTTTTTTTTTCTTCTTTCTTACACCTTTTCAAAAGGAATGATATATTCGAACGAGAGATGTTCAGGAAATATGGACTTTTGTGGTTCTGTTGATACAAAATGTATCATGCTTGATATTTTTATGTAAAGTGATAATTTCAAAATAAGAAAATGGGAGGGTTTAATTGTTACAATATTAGAAATTCATCATCCGTTTTATTCACATGTTTATTCATAAAATTTGTGCTTATTATGTATGTCTATATTCATATTTTTGAATGTCGCATAAAAGTATTAAAATTTGGAGAAAACTGTTCACTCTCTGCAATCACAGATGGAGGTGTATGTTTGTTGGGGTGTTAGCGATGGCCATTGGTATTTCCACGGTAAGTTAGATACGTGCACTAATTTCAATTCAATTTCAATTTATTCTTGTTTCCAACAAAACATTACAAATCAATTATAAGCATTTAAAACAAATGTAGAAATACATGTTGGAAACAGAGGGGTCCACTAAAAAGCAATGCCTGTACAAGCGTGAACACCTCAAATGATACTTAGAAATAATTAGTAATTAAATTAGACAAGTTCATGAATATATTATTTGCGTGCGCATATTTTTTTTTCTAAGTTAATAGTTACTTTTGACAACTACGGTATACAGCTTGACAACGGCTCACCCAATACACCAACTATATACTCATGTACGACATATTTATCCAAATACAATGTCAGCATGTCATTGAAAGGAACATGTGTCGATATATCAGGTCAAAGTGGTGTGCAAGAAAAAAGTTTCACACGGTTTAAAGTAGAAAATAAGAATGTCAACGTTTGCTTTTAATCTATATATTTCATAATATACCAAGCATTTAGCTTGAAAGTCTCGTGGAAATTATATATCTTCGGAGGGACTGGCAATAGTTAGGCCTACTTGTTTTCCTCGAGGCTTCGCCCCCGTGGACAAAATAGTACTATGCCAGTCCCTCCTCAGATAAATAATTTCTGGCAGCTTTGTATATTTGTATATTGACTATCTTAGCAGAGCAATATTTTATGTCTATTGTATCATTCTGACGCTTCATGGTTTTGTCTGAAATGCAGGCTTCATTATGTGAATTAGCAATACTATCATTAAAAAATGAAGTAAAAGTATAACAGTAGGAAATGAATAAGTAGTAGTTACAATTTTATATTATTTATACTGATTAATACTATTCACGTTTTATCACATAGATTCCACTAGCTCACGGGATCTGGCACTTGATTCCCTCTATGTGCTTCCTTGGATTTGCATTTGGTGAGTTGAATACTGATAATAGGCCACGCCGGATACATCATCATTATCAACTTTAGGTGGCGCTGTAAAGCGCTGCTGTGGTCTTCACGAGAGCACGCCATGCAACTCTTTCACCTGCCATTTGTGTTGCACCTTTCATTCCTTGTCCAGACACTTTCTTGATATCATCAGTCCAAGATATTGGTGGACGACCTCTACTCCGTTTTCCCTCGACTGCTCCTTGCAGTATTTGCTTCTCAACACCTTGAGATCTCCTCACAATGTGCCCAAAATAGTTTAGTTTTCTTTCCATGATTCCCCTTCTGATGGTCAAGTCTGTTCCAATCTTTTCCAGGACCCACACATTTGTCTTTTTATATTTCCATGACACCTGTAACAGCCTCCTTTAGCACCACATTTCAAAGGCATCAACTCTCTTTCTGTCATTCAAGTCATGGCCCAGGACTCACTTCCGTAAGTCGCAATAGAGACCATGATTAAATCACTCTGCCCCTCCTTTTCTAACCTCCCCCTCTCTCTCTCTCTCACTTTCTCTCTCTCTCTCTCTCTCTCTCCCCTTCTCATTCATTCTAATCTATATTTTTACCCTATCTTTCTCTTTAATGGCAGGTACTGTTGATAGCACCGTAATGGGAATAATGTATCAAATTGTAGACGTTTGGTATGACGGAGCGTACAGCTTGGCTGCCGCCCTTTTAGTCTTTAATTTTAGTCTCGCGTACACAATAGGTAAGTAACGTTTTATCTTGTTCATGATTTGTATTAAACAGACACAGTTCTCATTGAATCCATTTAAAATTAATATATATTTTACCCCCCCCCCCCTCCTCACCATTTCTCTCTAAAACTGCTACTCGTTCTGAGCCTCTTCTCCTGTTTTTTAATAAAACGACAAGTTTTATCATTTAATGTTGAATGACCAAAACAGAAATTAGCAATAGATCGTTCTCTCAAACAAAATTGCAATGCTACCCAAAAGGGTCACTTAGAAAAAGGAGATTATTTAAGGAGATTCGTCATAAAACAGATTTCTTAATTAGAGCATTCTAATTGTTGAGGTTAGATAACGGCTACCCTAAAATAATAAAATAATACAAATAAAAATATAAATCTTAGTTATTACCATTCTCCTTACAGGTACGCTGGCTTCAGGTTCTATTGTTAGATTTATTGGATTTAAATGGTAAGTTTTATGTGAGCTATATAGAACTTCTAGCTGCTGTAATGCCGTGTATTTTACATTCATTCACATTTAAAGCGTTTTTAAAATGCAGAATTTGTCAATCTTTGCAACGGGAGCCAAATCTTTACATGATTTTGTTTAAGAACTTTTATAATGAAGAAAAAAAGGGGTGGCTAAATATTCAATCGAATGTCTGTTACTTGAAGAGAGGGAGAAAGATAGATAGATAGAAAGATAGATAGATAGATAGATAGATAGATAGATGGATGGATATAGAGACAGAGACAGAGACAGAGCAACAAACAATCAGACAGACAAACAGATATAGATAGAGAATGAGAGAGATCTTAAACTATGAGAATAAATGACATTGCGCATTGTTAGCGTGTCTTTAGAAACAATTTATTGATATGACATTTAGAGGGTAAAATTATATTCTATTTTTAATAACTTTCTTCGTCTTTTTAATTGCGACGTACCATAAACCGAACTCAAGTCTAATTACTTTTTTTATATTGCATTTTGTTGTACAGGACTATGTGGAGCTTATCGATAGCCATTCTTGTGTCTTCGCCATTTTGTTTACTGCTCAGTCGAATCCCAGAAGAGAAAGAAACCCTACCATCTCCTGATCAAGATGTTCCGAACTATCCACCCGAGACAATAGAAGATAAACCACAACCATCGCTTGATGAAACCACGCGATTAATCAAACGATGATAACATGATCGCAAAGACTTTCGAGAAACTAATTTAAGGGCAGTCTGAATATTTTATTATAATGTACCAAATTCATGTTCGTATTTTGTAATGTATCATCGTTATGTTCTCACAGTTTAATGAGTGATGATAAACAAGGCTCAGATCGAAATTGCCTACAGGTGGATTTTACGAAAGTCTCACAACACTTTATAATGTGCTCCGGCAACAATAATTGTTCCCGCGGACAACCTCTCACACTAACTAAATTCCTGATTTCAACCATGGCACTATATACCTAACCGTAAATCTACCCTAAAACCAAACCACGACCATATATATTCCTTGCCCTATCTTTGGGCGTGTTTATGCTTCACTTTTTCTGGCCAGAATCAGGCATCTGTTACGCGTTTAGTTTAAAACACCGTTGCGTCAATGCTCACTTTTGTAGAATCACCGAAAAACGGCGATCACGATCGCCGATCGTAAACTCACAAAAAGATGCGTTTACAATTTGTAAACGCGTTTAAATGGGGTCAACGCACTGACCTCTAGTGGGTCTACGTTGCATGCACATTGAAGGTTTGCGAATCCAGCTGGAATACCAATTAAGGCCACACACGGAGAATTGCCTGTAGGAGCAAGAGAAGTGAGCATGAACAGTACACCGTGGAACTGCGATTACGATGAGCGTTTACGATGAGCGTTACAAATCGCTCATTCTACCTTCAAAAGTGAAGCATAAACGCGGAGCAAACGTCCCCGGAGCATGTATCAGATTACTTTCAGACACTTACGGATGCTGTATGCCACTACGATGCCTTTAACAATTTGTGTTCTGTAGTCTATGTTTCATCAAAGAAGAACGCTCTCTGATTAAAATTTAAATAATTTATTTCCAGATTTTTATGGCAGCAAACTAAAGTGTGCTCGTAAGGATCTGTAATACTATTATAATTTATTTTACCCAAACTCTCTATGAATACTATGAAACTAAGTTTTACGGGTTTGCTTCTTTGGCATACCCCTCCGTTTTATAGTATTTAGGTCAACAATGTTTCGTCAATATTTCTATTTTGTCATTTATACAATTTTATCACATTGTTTTATGTCATTATTTTTAAACGAATGTATAAATCCCATCTTTTATTATTGTATTCAATCTCAAAATAAATGATGTAACGTTTCAGTAAATGCACTTTTTAATGTATTCCCCCCTCCCCTTCCCTTCTTCCTTTTTTTTTGTTTTCTTCTTTTGTATTGGTGTTTAGATTCTCTCGGCTTTCCTTTTCCTTTTTTCTTTTCTCAACAATACAATGTATACTTGTTAAGGGGTTGACGTTGATAAGGCTAATTGCCCTTTTTGTTAACCCCACATTCACATAAAATGTTGTTTGCCCCTTCTCTTTGTATTTTTATTGTAATCGATCTTTTATCTGTATACCATGTTTGTATGTTTTGATGTTTTTATGGAGAATGAAATAAATGAAATGAAAATGAAATGATTATTGAATTTATTTCTACTTTGTTAAATGTGTTTGTATTGAAACGGAAATAGATATATCAATTCAAATCAAATCAAGGTCAATGGTTGAATGTAATGGTAATTGATGAGGACATTACCATAAACATTCTTTGAAAATAGTTCAAATTTTCCTCTTCCGAACTCGAAGAACATGAAAAAGGGATACAAAAACTCTTTCTTGTAATATCCAGAACGCGTCACAGCGCCATCATCATTCATGTAGCAGTCGGCGTAAAAAATAGGCGTACTTGGATCGTGTTTTATCAAAGTTATCATCATAATTATTTTGGTATTATTTCTCAAACTTGGCACCATCATATTCTACAAAATAATGGATATTAACTTTATAGAGCAGTATCATCTATTAACCTGGATAATAGTATTTATAATTTTGTTATCCCTCTACTTCACTTTTATTTCATGTTTTGTGGAAATAAATTCGATTCAATTCAATTCAATTAGATTACATGTTACAGGTGAATTGATGTTTGGTCTACACCCAGTCCACGTGGTCTAATACTCATTTCGTCTTCTTATAAGTTGGTCTAATGACCATTTAGGCTTTTCAAATCGTTTACCTAGAAATGATAAAATGTTTTTTTTTTAAATAAAGGCAAAATATTCGTACATCATTAATATATATTTATATTCCAACTTTCAATTTCTCCAAACAATCCTTTTGTACGCAGAACAAATGAATAAAGGTCATGATATCATAAAAAAAATATATTAAAATTAGTTGGTATGCGTAGAATATAATTTTGATCAACAAATTAATTTGCTGCCGTAATTAATAGGAAACTACTGCAAGACAAAGAAAGTAACTTGTTGCTAAATATTATTGTGAGGGAGGGCAGGCAGAGAGAGAGAGAGAGAGAGAGAGAGAGGCAGGTGATTGGAGTCAGATATAGATACAAAGACAGAAAGAGAGATACAAGAGGAACCGTGGACGAAGAGGTAGAGAATACCATGTAAAAACAATTGCTATTATCAGCAGTGGCATAGGAGGGTCCATTCATTGAGGGACACTGGTGTGTCCTGGGGTTATCCAGTGCCGTAATAAGTAAAAACTTTCGGGGGTCAGAACACAATCCATATCACCACCAAGTAGCATAATGCAGGGGCGGCGGAGCGTCTTCCAAAATAGGAAGGGGGCACCAACAAAAACGGTCACTTTCTGGAAAAAAGGGGCACCTACAAAGGGAAAGATCAACAAAACCTACACCATTTTTAGACATTGATATATATACCCCTACATCGTAACGATTGTGATTACAATACCAGAGATGATATCAATATTGTTCTTTGTTTACGTGTTACAAGATACTGCTTAATTTAGCAACATACTTTGCAGTTAGGTGTGATGGTCTGAATATTAATTTTCGAGCAAGCGAAGCGAGCGAGCAAAATTGTATGATTAGTGAGATCCCAGTGCAAAAAATTACATCTTATCAAGAAGACCCCCCCCCCCTAAAAAAAAAAAAAACCTGATGAGTATTAAGCACAATCTAATAAAGAAAGACTTAAAAGTAACATAATTAAGACATCTATAAATGCGAGCGAGCGTAGCAAACGAGCTCTAGGGGAACAATTAGGGGTGCATGTTATCGAAAAAGGGAAAGTAGGTACCTATCAAAAGGAAAAAGGATGGTTTTTAGAAAAGAAAAGGTGCTCGTGTCAAAATAAAAAGGGCAATTATCAGAGCCTTCAGAGGTGAAAATGGACGGCCATGCATTATGGCTCAAGGCATGGGCACACAGAGGATTTTTTTTATGTTGGGAACCGGGGTAAAATGCAATAAATAATTGAAAATTTATTGCATTTTCTGTTTTTTTTTTAAATTTATGGAAACTGCCCCCTACCCTAGCCCCCGCTGCGTACAGTCATGGTTCAGTGACGAAGCAATGACCTCGTAACTGTGAGGCCCCAGGATCAAAAACGTGTCGATGTGCTATATTAGTGCCCACTTATGACTTAAGGGCGTAGGTCCCCTAGTTGATAAGCATAGTAGCATACACATGCTTTAGCAATCACACAAAACACACATTGTCAAATTACTTTATTCAATAAAATCTGAGAATGTATACTATTATCTAGATCTATTATTTTTTAATTATTTTTTAAATAATTCCATAAAATGGGGTAAAACAAAAATATTCCAACTATAAATTATGAGCGACAGTGTATGTAAAAAGGAGCTTTTTGTGGGTACCTGAAAAAGTGGATGAAACAGTGCCCCCCCCCCCCCCACACTCCCATCGGAAGTGCTGCCTCTGGCATGAGGCAAAAATGAGAAGAAAAGCCCGGAAATCGTGTCGTTTGAGCAACATTTGTAAATCACTGGCATCGAATTTTAGAAATAAACCACGTTTGAATTTCATTAGGCGGTCAACTACCCCCCCCCCCCCATGTTGCCGCCGTGTTGTTGTTTTTTGTTTTTAGGCGTGTAGCATTCAGTTATGAATATTGATGTATTAGTCTTAGTTTGCCTCAAATCATTATTTAGTAAATGTTTATAGAACGTACAATTAGCACTTACATTTTCTATAATATAGTTCAGTCTTAATTGTATCATACTATATTATTGTCTAGGCCAACAGAGCCATTGTAGAATTTTTTTTTTGTAACTGACAATGCTACCCTGTGGAAACAAAACTACAAATGAATAAATAGGTTGATGTGAAATTGTAAGTGAAATACATCTATGTATGTATGACAACATGAAAAAAGGAGAGATTATAGGCCGAATTAAAACATAGATCATCTACGATGATGAAAACATATTTTGAGTTTTGATTGATTGATTGATTTTTATTCGACAAGCTTCCAACATACAACAATATACAATAATAACAGATCAGAAATAAGTCAGCTTGAACAGGATAACCCACGAAAGCTCGAGAGCTTATTTCCAGTGGGGTCCCTTACAGACATGTATAACATTAATAACTTTAAATAGTAATAATTATTTACAAACAGCCGGAAAAGAAAAATAAAAGAATTACTTATTAAAGATAATAATAATAACAACATTAAACTGAAGATAGAAATGATAATAAGTACAAGAAGAAAAGGAAGAAGGAGAAGAAGAAAAAGAGGCGGAGGAAGAAGAGGAAAATAATGATGAATTTGTAGAATTTCTATAACGTACGAAAACATAAGTATATACAAAATGAAAAAGTATGAACCGGCAGAAGAATACAAATTTCAATCATATAACATGTCATTTACTTCTCTTATCTGACTGTCAAGTATTAGGTATTCTAATTTCCTCTTAAAATGAGCATAGTTTTCTATTTCCTTTACACCATTGGGAAGGGAATTCCAATGTTTTATGGCATTGTAATAAAACGAATTTCCAATACTACCTACTCTTTCTGGTAAGTTAAAGTTGAATCGGCTATTTCTTGTATTATAATCATGTAAGTCAGTAACATAGATCGAAGTTGGATCAAATATAATGATTCGACCTAGTATGATATATTTATGCACGTGATGCAATACGAGTTGTTGGGTACTATACTTCTACTTCTACTTCTACGACGATACTCAGCAGGATCCATCCCGGGATCCATAAGTCAGGATGTAGTGCTGAGGAAATACTAGTAGTAATAGAAACTTGTCCAGGAAACACCGAAGGGACAGCAAGTCATTAAAGTGCATGTTAAAAATACATTTATCAATATGCACAATTTCAATATGATACTCAGTTTGAGAAGTATATTTAGGTCTATGGAAGTAATACTAATAGGAATATGGTATACGCAGGATAGTTGGCTGGTTAGGTTGTCTACGGCCATTGGTCAAAAGATACGCAGGCTCAAATATCCGACCAATCACAAACATCATACCATGACCCATTCTGTTATTCACCAAGGATTCATTCAAAACAATCTTTCTGTGAGTTAATCAATATATTTTGGTGTAATTTACGACATCTAGTTAATAAAGATATCTGAATTTAAATGTAACTGATTAAGAATAAGATTTCGATATGTTTTGCATAATAACGTTTATTTTTAATCGGACAGAATCGCTGTTTTATGTATATTTCCTTAATTCGATTTCAGGTGCCGGTTGGTCGGTCCCATGTGTGGTTTTCCGTGTGTCGCTTTGCATGAAATGAATTGTGCTAATGTCAAAAGGACTCAATGTCAGAAAAGCAAGTAGATCTAGACACATGGAATTGTGAAAATTAGACTCAAGAAACAGAAGAAGTTTGATGCTTTTGTATTGGATGTCTTCGAGGATGAATCTGGCTAAAAGTTTGGCTGAAACTCAGTCAAACTGAGACTGAGTGAAAGTGAAATTGAAAAGCCTGAGTGAAAGGCTGAAAATATAAATAAAAGCCTGAAACTAAATAGATCTAGGCTGAATTGCAAGCAAACACAAACGGCTTTAGAGATGCCAAACCGAGTGATATTCAGTAATAGTGTTGATGGTGAACAAAAGAAAAAAGCGATGAATAATATTTTGATATACGGCCCAGCTGCAAAAACTGTCAGGTTTTGCAGGTTTAGGTTAGGGTTAGGTTTAAGGCAATAAGGGTTATGGTTAGGGTTGGGGTAGAGTCACACATAGCTGCATTATTATCCTGGCTGTGTATTAAAGCTGTGCTATTGATTCTCAACATTTCAAACACCACTGTACAAAGCTCAACTGATTTCACTCGAAATCAGTAATTTAGTGACAATTGATGTCGCCTAAATGGCAGTGAAATACAATTTTTTTAACTTACCGATGTTAGAAAGAATAATTAAAAAATTCAAATTGTAAGTCTACTGTCAAACTTGCTGATCAGCCACATCGGCATGATTGTGTGCATTTGTGTATTAAGAGTGTATGGTCTATTCATGAATGCAAATGCTACCTATTAACACGTAGTGCAGTGCTAGAGGTCAATACGCATTAGCATTGACTCTCTGTGCTTTGCTGGAGTGGTTAGAGTTAGTGTTAAGGTTAGGATAAAATGACAAAAACTGACTGTTTTTGCAGCTGGGCCGAGTTATCTTTGAGCCGAGTTAGCCCGGATTCATTTTGATATATATTTTGCATAAATAACGTACATCTTAAATTGGACTGCAGAGTCGCTGTATGACTATTAATGTTATCATGTACATTTATTTCATTCAATTTCAGGTGCCGGTTGGGCGGTCCCACATGTGGTTTTCCATGTGTTGCTTTGCATGAAATGAATTGTGCTAATGTCAAAAGGACTCCATTGTCAGAAAAGCAAGTAGACACATGGAATTGTGAAAATATGGCAACGAAACAAACATCCGAAATCAGACTCAAGAAAAAGAAGAAATGTGATGCCTTTGTATTGGACGTCTTCGAGGATGAATCTAGCTCAAAAGGTTTGGCTGAAAAGGCTGAATTGCAAGCAAACACAAACGGCTTTGGAGATGCCAAACCGACTGATGGTAATGATGGTGAACAAAAAAAAAAAGTGAAGAAGAAATCCAGTCTCCAAGTTGCATTTGAAAAGTTCCGCAAAACCAGACAGGTGAGTTCAAGATTTTTTTATAATTTAAAATTTGAGATTTAGATCTAGACCTAGGCTAGAAGACAGGAATAGAAACTAGAGTAGGTCTAGATCTAGAATCTATATCGATATAAAAGACATTGTTTATTATAGAATGTATGTTGTTTATGGTTTTACTTCTGCCAGTCCTGGAATATATCAAAACCTGACACAACATGATGTCTAAGTCAGTAAACGGTATTGACGTCATACCTGAATTAGTACGAAAAAGTAAACTGTACAAAATAAATTGCTCTCTGTCGTGTTCCTTTTTGCTACATGTGCAGCATTTGTGAATCCGCTAGTTTAGCTATAAATGATCGACCCAACAAAAATCAACCGCCAAAAACTTGGTCCCTACGGTTCGATTCAAAGTGCATAAATATCTTTTGATGTAAGTGAGCAGATGAGCAAGTAAGTAAATAGGTTATGAATACTGTTTGAGGAAAAACAGATGCAGTATAAGAGAAAACCTAAATGGCTCCATTGGTAGAAGCATTTCGTTGAATACTGACAAATTTCAAGCCAGTGGCTAAACCCAGAACCAGACTAGAAGATTTTTTACTTGCACCTTATGTACATAGGACACCCAGCACTTCACGTCCTTTGTAACACACACACCCCTTTCATCTGCAAGAATCTTCAAAAGTGAAGAAGGCAGATTAAGAGGAAGAAGAAGAAGAAACCTTTTTTTTTTTAAAGTTAGAATGAGACAGTGTTCAGAAAGAGTCTGTGCAGGTAGCAGCTATATGTACAGTAGGTGGATGAGTGAAAACTATACTAAATGTAAGTTCAGTTAGTTCCTTGGCACTTTATCCACAGTGTAAATCATGCAGAGTTTCCTCATTGAATGTGAAGATAACTATTTGAATAGTGGGAGTTCCTACATACTGTACATGTACATGTACGTGCAGTGCATCTCAAGGTGCTCCTACCCAGAATTTCAACTGTTTATATGCTTCAGAAATCTTGCATGCAGCAAAAAGTATCAGGCCAATGCTTGGACCGTGTAGCATTGTGGATAACTCAGAGCATGGCCTATTTCTTCAGAGTATTATTTTGTTTGAGCAACAACGTGGTTGTTTTTAAAGGAAAATCAAACCATATCAGACAACTACCGGTACCCTAAAAGAGAGCAGAAAAATCAGAGAAGCAGACTAGCGAAAGTTATGAACATTATGAAAGTTATGAATTCTAAAAAATTGTAATCACTATATGGGCATCGGCTGAATCAGTAATGTCACTGTGATGTGCATGTAGTGCCTGACAAGTGACAACTTTCCCTCTGTTTCGACACACATAATGACCAAAATGTCAATCTTTCAAAATGTATGACTCAGAGGGGCTTTTCCTTTCAATAGAGTTTATAAAGGGCCTATAATATGGTATTATGCTGTCCATAACATATTTGAATCTGAGTGATCCAATGGAGGAAGCACTTGGGAAAAAATAGTAATTAATGATACTTTAGTATATGAAAAACGGGAAGTTGTCCATGCCCTCATCAAAATCAACTGACCAAATTGCCAATTTGAGATGCATTTAACATATGTGATATTATATTTTAAATATTCATAACTCTGTTATTAATAGTCCAATTTATTTTGAAAACTGTCATCATCCTGTAAACTCTTATTTTATACACATGAACTGGTTACTGGATTGCCCTGATAGAGTTCCTGAGTTAAATTGAATGCACATTACATAAACTGTAACTGACGAGAATTCATCACACTTACTTTTGGACGATATTGGTATCATCCATTTAGAAACTCACTTTTTAAGTACATGTACATGTCAGGCTTAATTAGTTTTTTGTCCTTCCCTGTTATTGATATTAAGGGACAGGTTTCGATACAGTGCGGTTACTTTGGTAGTCATAACTCATAACTTTTCCACACTTAAGTCAACACTTTGCTTTATAAATAGAAAAAGGACTTACCGGTACTCATTCATCTTAGACTATAGGCTACAGTGTAAGTATCGAAATATATTTGAACCAAAATGCAAATTTATGGAAAGTTAACCTGTGCACAATGCTATTCATATATGAAACTATTTGAAACAGCAACTACATCAGCAATATCTCACATCTCTATCAGCTTGCAAATATAAAGTTAACCAGTAACATGTGTGCAATGTCATTCAATACTATTGAAATATTGAAATGTTAGAGCTCCCTCTATGGTAGAGAATGGATCAGTCTATTCATGGGAAAACCCATCGCCTGAGGTTCAATGAGCAGTGATAATGACAATGATCTGAAATCTTGCGCAGGAAGCCTCTTGAGTGTATCTATTTCAAACTTTAATGAATATGTAGTTTTGGTTTTCATCTTTTGATTGACACTAATGGAAACCCATTACAGCTTTTGTAATTTGAATTTAGAATTTACAATGTATGTATGACTCAAGGTAAAGTGAAATCCTTATTATTTTTATTATTTTTTTAAATTGCAACCCAAATTTGAGGTTAGATTTCAAATACAAATAAAAATACAAACAGATAACAATGGTAGAAATAATGTACACAATACACATTCAAAGAAACTATCAAGTCTGGTACATATGAGCAACAATGTGCTACAATCAAATTAATACATATTTTAAAATGAATTAAAGTAAGCTCCTTGGTACAATATTTATGATGACTTAATGTGCAGTTGAAACAGAAAAGGGAAAATAAAGCATGTTGTCAGAGTGAAAACAAGAGCTTGGCATCCACAAAGAAGGAGCACATTTTAGACATCACAAAAATTGTGGGGGAAAACCCATATGAATGGAAAACCAACTACCCGGTACATAATTTAAATGATTATGAACCTCTATAGCATGTGTGTACTGTGTATTTTATGTACACACTTGATACCTGTAGATCTGTAGGCAGAGTCATTTTCTTTGGTATCCTATATATGGAATATTGTGTAGTTTTTTTTGTCAACATATTTCATTCGTTTTTGGCCCAAAAGTGACCGAAAAGGGCCATCAGGGCACATTTTCATAGATTAAACACATCAACCCCCCTTTGCTAATAATAATGATTGGAAATTTGCCCCAGACCAAAGTGACCATAATTATAGTTTTTTTGCTAAATTCACAAAAATATTGTGAGTAGCATCACTCTGATATTTTTGGAATCATTGCTAATTTTTTACACCAGATACCTGGTAAGCTATTCAAAACTTCCCCACCCAAATTCTGATTGAATCACTTAAATCTCACAACAATGCCACAGATGATTTTTTCTTGTCTACTTTTCCCCATGAGGCATAATATGAAATTGACTAAAAATTGGTGTCCCTAGTTGTCACTGTGGATTGTGAATCCACCGTTTTAGATGTTAGTTAAAAAGTGGTCACTGGTCAATGAAAAGCCAAACTACAGGCTTTAGTGACCCCTGTCTACAATGACCACATTTTTTGTTTCCCTTGAAAATGGTTTCTCACTTTTGTGTTTCCTTCGGGCTGGTGCTATAGAGAGGTTTGACCGTCTGTACTTGATTCCAGTCTTGTTACCAAACTTAATCAGAAACTCTCTATAGACCAGGCCTTCTCAACTTGCGGCGCGCGCGCCACTTGTGGCGCTTGCGGTCAGTCGGAGTGGCGCGCGACTGTTGCAACAACAAAACAAAAAACAGAAAGAAAGAAAAAATATATTTTAGAATCAAATACTCAGCTAAATCAAGAAGTTGCAGTCAAATTTGGTCCCAAAATGCCTGCTTAACAAACAAGAAGAAAGAGGAATTTATTGTTTTTTACCATTTTATACGAATCTAAACCTAAGGTCTGAACAACATTTAGCTTACGATGGGATACCAATTTTAACATTGCCAATCTCTGGAAACATCTTGTTTTTTTGTTGTTTGATTTTCACTTTATTTTGACATTTCCTATGTTTATTGCACACAAAACACTACATTTAAATATACCTCCAGTGTAATTGTACCCAGGAATTGTACTAATTTTGTCACATCAATATGAAATTATGATTGATTATATTGTGGAATGAACTGGTCCTAAAAATGCCATTTTTTTGCAGTCATTGGAAGAAAAGAAATGACCAGTGATGTCAAACAGTGAGAACTTGTGCTTCTGGTATTATACTACCCTGTGTAATTAAAGACAAACCTTATTGGCACAAAAAAGCCACAAGTTATCACCTTCTTTCCTCACCATGTGTACAGTCGTGCTGTTCACATGCCATTGCCATCCAAACACGAAGTCAGTCAAACAAGTACTAGAAGTCTCAACTAATGTCCTAGGCTTTCAGTGTAGGTGCTAGACCCACAAGGTCCTGAAACAAAGAACTACCGGTAGACAAATCAACAAGGACCAGTTTCAATGCCAACATGACACCATGACATGGCTTGATTCAACATGGTCTGAAGAGGGACCAGGTTCTTAACAATAACTGTGTTGCATGATAGACACACACTCCACCCCTATATTTTCAATACAAATACGGATGAATAAAGGACTGTGTACATAACACACAAGCCATCCATCAGACTCTGAAGAAAGCTACACATCTGCACTACACTGGTATTTGTATTTTGGAGAAAGACACCTTTTGGTACTGCAAGGAGTTTCTTCTCCTTGTTTTTCCTTTCCACAAATGCAAAAAAATAGTTTGTAATGTAATACCTTGACATAGATCCTTGTAATAATAGTATTGATTAATTGACTAAGTTTATTTTACATACCGGTACTAATAAAGTAAGGTACAAATGTGTAGAATTATCTAAAAAATACCTGCAAATATGATTGATGGGTATTGAATATGAATCCACTCAGCTATATTGTACTCCTACTATTGCTGTTGACTTTAAAGATGAAAAACTTGGATGAGAGAGAGAGAGACAGAGACAGAGAGGGAGAGACAGACAGACAAAGGAGGGGGGGGGGGGGTTAATAGTGATATCATGTT